AGACAAACAACAAAAACCAACAATAGCAACACTGTAAGACTATATATATATTTTTTTTTTTTTTGAGCTGATAGATCCTGTACTCAGAGGAAGGTAGATGAGAAGAGGCCAGCTTAACAGTGACCTTGTTTTGGGAAGAAGCAGACGCTCTGAGTGCAGCAAAAGACAGGCAAAGAAAGGGCCTGTCACTACTGCTAAACCCTCCATGGAAAGGAAAGGATCTGGAGTTTGGAGCCAGGGTAGACTCATCTGAACCTGTAAGGGAATGTGGATAAGCAATGTCATTGGGCCAGGGATTTAGCTCAGTGGTGCTGCACCTGCCTCAAAAGCGCAAGGTCCTGAGTTTGATCCCCAGTGTGTGTGTGTGTGGGGGGGGGGTGACACAACACTTAACTTCAGCAGTTTATAATCTACATAAGGAGGCTTTAAGAATTACAGTAAACTGACTGGCTCACATAGGGGCATAAATACCTATACAATATCTATTACAATGACATCTTGTTATAAAACATACAGAAGAACAAAGAGGAATGTAAGAGAAAAAAATCAGAAAATCTTTTATAGAGGAACAAGCTATAGGTCTGATTCAATAAAAAGGCATTGCTAAATAATGTCAATTGTGCTCATTAAGAGATTATATAACTCCGAAGAGAAGCCTATTCCCTAAATCAGGATGGGCTTGGTGATAAAGTTTGTGCCCCAGCAAAATTCTTCTGTGAAAGTGAGGCAGAACTACAAAGTGTTGGGAAGGAGATAGGAGGTTTGGCAGAGAGAAGAATGAGCGGGCAGCAGGGCCAGATTTGAGAGCAGAATGGCCTAAGAGGAATTCAGAATGAGAGAGTTAGTAGAAGTTGCAGTTGTTTGCCATTGGTGGGCCATGCCCTTCTCTTTCCCTTCATCCTGGTGTCTGTTTTTCTAAAGCTTTTGGTGAACATGGTTCCTTTGGAGGAAATATGGCAGCAGGGGAGGCCTTGCTACTGAGTGTATTTCCGGTTCTGTACATGTAAAATACCATGGGCCATGAAAGGAAGCTATAGTTGAGGTATAGTAGATCCTGTGGCCATTTTAGACTTACAGAGATCACCAAGCAGTAAAAGGGTCTCATATACCATAATAACTAGGTAATAGGAACAAGAAACAGAAACATTTACTGAGGTAAATATATGCTACGGTGAAATGGTGAAGTTAGGGGGAAGATTGGAAGGATCTAAAGGGCCACAGTTAGGCTGGGAGATGGGGGACAGGCTGTGGATTCACCTTCCATAGGTTGTGCCATCCCCACCTTCAGGAACATCTGGAGTCTGTGCTGAGGGTCCGTGATGCGGGCCTAGAACCATGGCCTGGATGCACACTCAGTGCCCATCTTTCGATGAAGGCTACCACCTTCTTTTCTGGGCGCTCCACTGCAGCATGGCTGAGCCCCAGCGTGGCTTCCTCGGTGTTCTCACCCTTGACTTCCTGAGTGGGTTGGGCTCCTCCTTTAGTCTCTGTGCAATCTGAAAAGAAATCTATGTTCCCCAGTATTTTGGACTTGGAGAGACATCAACCAGGAAATTAAGCCAGAGCTTCTCAGAGGGTCTAGTTTTCTTCTTTTGTAATACATACACTCAGTGCCATAAGTTTCCCTCTAAATACTACTTTTACTGCATTTCACATATTTTGATGTTATATTTTCATTTTCATTTGGTTTCAAATATTTTTAAGGTTTTTTCTTGATAGGTTTTTTCACCCATGTGTTAATAGTGTTATTTAATGTCCAAATATCTTGTGATTTTCCAGCCTTCTTTCTGTTATTGATATCCAGTTTAATTCATTATGGCCTAAAAATATACTTTGAATGACCTCCTTCATGTGTATTAAGGTGAGATTTATGGCTACATGTGATATATGGCTAATGTATGTGTGTTCTGTCCTGCTGAATGGTCCTTTCTTGGAAATCCCAGACAGTTCAAGGAAGCCACAGTGTCCAGTATAGTCAAATGGACTCTCATCATTTTTAATATCCATGTCTTCATGATCAAAGCAGTTTTATGACTGTATGAGACAGTGGCTGGTAAGAAAAATAGGAAAGCATCCCAAGAAGCAGAGAAATGTCATGTGGCAATAGAGGTGCTTTAGGGACATCATGAGTAGTAAACTGAAAGGACCTTTAGAACCAAAGACTATATATATATAGTCTTCATCAACAGACTATATATATATAGGCTTCATCAACAGACTTGCATCTTGTGGAGGAGTCCCCGACTGAGTCACCTAGCAGATGGTGCCTCTTATCTCAGGGTGAGGCAGAGTAAGGGCAGGGAGTGATTCAGGGGCTACACTCACACTCCTGTAACACCTTACTCTCCTGAGAACAACCTCAGGGTTAAGGAGAACCCCAGTAAGCCTCCCTCTAAGGGGAAAGCCCTCAGTGACCTAACCAACTCCCACCAGGACCCCCCTTACAGTTCTCACCACCTCTCCAGCTTGCTGAGTACAAACGGTGGCAAAGTGTGTTTCCTTCTGGTTAGAGCACAGTTAGTGGTAGTCATCCATAGTGTTCTGGTCATGTTTATTAACCAGCTCTGCCGATAAAAAAGCCTGAGTTTGTAGTGATTTCCATGGTGTACATATTCTCACCGTGACCAGTTTCAACCTACCAGCCTGAAAACATTGTGGGAAAAGTTTGGAAAAGAAGCATAAGGTTTATGCTCTTAAATTGGTGTCTGCTAGCTGTAGTGCATCATTGGAATGCAGAATATTTGGAAAGCAGAGGAAAAAATTTTTGAGAAATCAGAGGAAACATAATATTGTGGCTGAGAACAAAAATCATCCTTAATATGGGATTATATCTCCTTCTGGTATTTTGTCTACTCATTTTTAAGTAATTATTAACTCTTTTTTTAATTTGGTGTCAGGAATCAAACTCAGGCCCTTGCTATTTCAAGGCAGGCGTCGGCACCACTGAGCTGAGCTGTTAACTCTTTTTTTTTTTTTTTGGTACCGGTTTGATATAGAGAAGTTTGAGTTTTGTTTCTATCATCATGAATGAGATTTTAATGGTTGCATAATATCTGATCAAATCAAAGTAAGATTATAATTAGTCCTAATTGTGGACATTTAAATAATATTTCCTCATTTTTGGTATTGCTATAAATAATATGATATATCCTTAGAGAAAGATTTCTTTGGGTATAAATCTTCCTGCACATTTCTGGCTATTTTCTTACTCTCTTGAATCAAATTATTTCAAGTATAGGTCTTGAAAAAACTATTCCCTGACACCTCCAGAAGGTTCTTACCAGTAGACATGCTGATCAACAGTGTGAACAATGCCTTTCCCTGCAACGTCACTACTGCTTCTTTTAAAAAGTGTTTTATAAGTTGATAAATAGAAAATGTTCTAACACTGTACTTCCTTCCAAGTGTGCTGGATGCTTCTCATGTTCATTCTCCTCTCTGTTTCTCTTTATTAACACGTCCTTTTCATGTCAGGGCTTGACAACCTCTCCTGTCCGCCTCTTCCCTGCTGGGTTTCATCTTCTATTTCACCCATCCCAGGCTCCTGCCATTCAGTTCATGCAGATGCAGAAGGGCAGGAGTCTCTTCCCCTGCCAGGCTGCAGGCCTCAGCCCTCACCTGTCTCGGGGATTTTTACCAATGCGGCCTTGGAGAGGCTTTCGGAGATTCTCTGCCTAAAGTGTCTACCCCTAATCCCTACTTGATTTCCCTTCTTGGCATCGCTTTTCTCTGCAGCATTTAGGATCATCTGAGGTTTTGCATATTTTATTTGTTCACCAAGAGTGTAGGTGCCATAAAGGCAGTCAGTACTCTTCAGGACAAGAGCATGGGACACTCAATATTTTTTTCAAATTTTACTGAATGAGTGTCTTCCAGCCCTATATGCAAAGGTTTAGCGTTGTCTTTAAATAATCAATTCATGTTTTCTTTAATACTAAAGATAATAAACATTTGCAGTATTTGTAGCTTTTTGTTTGTTTTTGGTTTTTTGAGACGGGGTCTCATTATGTAGTTCAGGATAGTCTTGAACTCACTATGTAGCCCAGGCTATGCCTCGAACTCCCAGCAGTCCTACTGCCTCAGCCTCGCAATGTTGGGACTACAGGTGTGTGCCACCACGCCCGGCTTGTAGATTGTTTTTAAATATTATGTTTTTGGACAAGCAGTTTAATGTTTTTATGTCACTAAATCTTCCACTGTAGTTTTTTATCCAGTTCATAGTTACAAGGCGGACCCTGCGAACTGCGCTGTGCACACGCCGGAGCAGCATTCGGGGTTCCAGTCGCTAAGCGCTCGCCCCGCCTGTGCTCACAGAGAGGGGCCCGCCGCAGTGGCACTGTGATTCAGGTTGCGTTCTTTACACCAGGAATCAGTTCTACAGTGCTATATTAATTTGCTTTACCATTTATAGCAAACATGGGCTTATGTTTAAATTACTTTAAGTTTTCCGTAAGCACATTGTTTGAGAAGTAGGTGAAGTATGCCATTGAATGTGCCGCACATTTGAACTTAATAAAGCAACCCCTGGGGGGAAGCAAATTGCTCTTCAAAAATTCTTATTCATGAAGGTGTCACTTTTCATTTGTGCTTTATTCCAACATTTTGTGCTGATTTTCTTGCTTGTGACTAATATATAAAGGATTAATTTTCTTATATGTGCTTATTGGTTTTTCTTGCTCTGAATTTTAAATTTTAACTTGAGTATTTTCCTCTCATGTTACATATGGAGGAGTCAAATCTCAATGAACATTGCTTAAAAATCTCCACTATCTATTTTTAAAGCATTTTCCAATATGGAGTAAACCTACTTGAGTTCATTTTTGTTATTGCTACAAGTTCTGATAAGATATAAAGCAAATAAATGAAAATATAATAGGAAGCTGGGCTTCCAGTAGAAATATCAAGGGCTGAAGTCAAATCCACCTGTAGCCACATTTTTCCTGAAGCGCCTGCCAGGTGTCACTAGGATTGCAGAACTGACCCTTTCATTGACAGCGTGTTAAGCTCGTGCCTTCCCCTTAGGGGCTACTTGATAAATATCTGTGCGTTGAATTGCACTGAACCTTAGGGCATGAGGCCTTTCCGGGTAAGTGTCCCCAGGACCAGCTTTCCTTCTCCACCTCTTGTTTTTTCTTTCTCTTAACTGCGGTCCAGCGCAGAGCTTCACCCAGACCTGCTCACAGATTGCCTTGCTGTGCAACCCCTGCAGCCGGCCGCTTCTCCAAGAGACACTGCTGCTGATACCAGCCTGGGACGTTCCCCGGGGCCGGGCCCAGACCTCTACACAGGTAAGAACGGCAAAGGCAGAGCCACCCCCTCCCGCTTTTTGCTCTGGTCAAACGGAATGGTCGTGAAGGAACACTCGTCTCAGATCATTTGCGTTTGGCTTTATCAACGGGCTGCAGACTGCTCTGTCTCCTGGGATTCCTGAGCTGGGATTGGCAAGGGGGGTGGGGGTGG